AAAATAAAGATACTAGAATTGCGGAATTTTTTTCTTTTTTACTCCTTTTTTTCTGCATTTCAAGCTCACATATCAACGTATTAGCAACCACTAGAACACCTTCCACAATAATTTCCGCCATGTACACGTGTACAAGTCTACTTGGTCCAAGTTGGAATCCAAGCATTCTTGGATCGTGTCAACCCGCCTTAAGCAACCTTTGAGACGCTATAAAAAGCATCAATTTGACAATTATATCATAAATATAAGAACAACATTTTATTTTTACGTCCAATTGGATATCTATATCTGCAACTATATCTGTATTTTTTCCATCACTTTTTAATGCATTTTATTAAAACCCCTGAGAAAATTAGACTGCTGTTAACCACGCTTAAAAAAATGAATCATAGATATTTGGTTCTGGGATATTTATTGATAATTTAAACGGTTTCTTCCGTATTTTTAATCTGCATTTTCGAAATTTGAACATAATGCGGCTTAATGCAGAAATGATTACAAAAGATAAAAGATGAAAGATTATAATTAATCCTAAGATTGTTGAAAACTATAACAGTACTATAGGTGGTGTTGATAGGGTTGACCAAAATATTGCTAATTATCCTATAACTGTTGAACATGGCAAAAAATATTATAAAAAATATTTTTTCATCTCAAATACGCTGAGTGAAATGCATTCGTACTGTATAAAAGAAAAAAGGGGGACATCTAGAATTTCGAATGGGATTTATAACGCATCTAATTCAGAATTGACAAAAATATAGAGGTAGAAATGTTAAAGGAAGACCTTCTACACTTCCCAACCCTCTTAGACTTAGCGGTCGGCATTTTTCTGGTACTATTCCTATTGCAGTGAAGAAATCTCATCCAACTAAAGTGAGGCGGAAGATAAATATGGAAAGAAGTTTAGGCACGAGTCAATATATTACTGACCTGATTCCGAAGTACGGTGCCATATTTTAAGAATTATCATACATTAGTTAATTTTTAGTTCCTTTTTTACTTTCATTTTTATCATCAATACGTTAATAAAATAAATGGATTTTTTCTGACAACTTTTAAAAAATAAATGATCCGTTAACGACATATTTCGGTTATGTAACACGTTAAATGTCGCAATATTTTTGTCCGTCTACATTTTTCTCGCGTTTTCCATTGCTTATCTGCTAATCAGATGTTAAAACATAGTGCTGTTGGTATACTTGAATGGTTGGTTTTTACTTGAAGATCCTTTTTGTGTGAAGATTATACCATTCTGAGTTTGGTTTTACAATTTCTGGTGAGATTTAGCTGTTTCCACTAATTTTCTCCATTATTATCTCTCTTTGATTGACCTTCCTGTATTTCTAATTTCCATACTCCTTAACTCTTCTTCCACTTGTTGTCTCCATCTCAGTTTAGATCTGCCCCTGTCGTTTAGTCTTTTACCTGCTGGTATCTATTCCGTTATAACTCTTAACGGATTGCTCTTCTCTCTTCTCAGTATGTATCCATACCATCTAATTCTCTGTGCTTTTATTACTCTAGCTATGTTCTCTTGGCCCATCCATTCTTGTATTTCGTGTTTCATCCATTGTCTTGCATCCATTTTGTTTTCCCTCTTTCTGCATAACGAGTTGAAGAATTCGATATTTTTCTTTGTTCCGCATCACGTGGCATTCACATACGAAAAAAGTATTATTTTTTAACTTATATTACTTTGTTGAATTTTTAAATAAAGTGGTTTTTTTTAAAGATTATCAACAATCAGATTATTACAAAGAAAAAAGCCCAAAAATTAAAATATATAAAAGATAATATTGTCTACTAAAATAATATAAGCCTTAGTCAAATCACCTTTCTGCCTTCTGCCAGGCATTATTAAATGTTTATTTTAATCTATTTTTGTAGTCATTAACACTCAGTATGTAAATAACTCTATCATTATTCTAAGGATATGTTAAGACCTTGAAGTAACAAAATCAATTATTTTGGGAAAAAAATCCTAAAATAATTTCAGATGAAAATTATAAATCAAACTGTACTAATGTATAGGGTTTAATTTTATTTAATATAACTATTTAATCAATGAAATAAGTTTAACATTTTGGCTGCGTACATAAGTGCAAATTACACAAGTAATAAAACCAAACTAGACCATTTATAAGCTGCGTCCTGGAACAACTGTTTGAAATGCTCTACTTTAATAAATTAAACCTTAAAATACTAAGAACTGGACAAAGTTATGGGCATTCGTTAGACCAGGGGTTCCCAAACTGGATGAGGCGCCCACCCCGTGGGAGTCAAAAGTTAAATATTAAATTTAGGTAGTATTTCTAAAATTCTAAATTAACCATGATGTGTAGAAAATTAAAACAAACCACTCTAAAATCTGACTTTACACATAAATTTGAAATCGAATGCTTGAAAGAATGGAATATGAGCCGTGAGGCAATAGCGTGCATTTGACAACCTAGCGTTTACAAGCACTGAATCCCTCCTTCCCTCCCTCAACCAGACGCAGGCCAGCTAATCAATTGTTAGCAAGGCTGCCAGGTCTAGGGATTTATCCCGAATCTAGGGATATTTCAGCATAAAAGGGACAAAGGGATTTTTTTGATATTGTAAAATCTAGATTTTTGACCAGCTCAAATATTTACCTACATAGGCTTATTATAATAACATTTTCTTTCATTCAGGTATAAAACCACTTATTATTTGTTAAACCAAAGATTTGTTAGTTGTTCGGATAAACCTTTTATATATGGAAGAGGAAGATAAGTGGTTTTAATACTGTTGGGTTTGTTGTTAGTTGTATTGTTATAAAACTTATTGAGTCTTGATTTTTAAAGCTGCACTTGTTTTTTTTTTAGTTATATCTTATTTAAAGTATTAATCAATATGTATAAGCGTATTATTAGACCTATAATAAATGCATACCTATATCTGTCAATTAAAGAAACAGGTATTTATAATGCATTATTTTGTATTTAACTATACATATCCTTTTATTAGTGAAATTAATTAAATACAACTACACAGTGCTGAATACGGCCCTGATTAGAATGAATCATATATCGACAATCTAATACCAAAGCATGCCTGAGAGTTTTGGCAACACTGATCTCCATAAGCATAATGTTATTTTCTTAATGTGGAATGCTCTATAGCTATTTGAATTTTAAATTATATATTCTTGGCAGATTACATACATCTTACATACATTTATACATACAGATACATCGGCAGTGACAGATTTTTAAAGTTTTTTTGCCAGTTCCTGTCAAGTGTGCTGAGTCCCAAAAAATTATTTTTTCTGGAAATATTTCATTCTTAAGACTAATGATTTTAAAGTTGAATACAAAAATGATAGTTAAATAGTGTGAAAATTGAAGTTGAATATTGATACAATAACTTCAAAATCAATTTTTGGTTAAAATTTTTGGAAAATCTGTTATAATCTGATTACGAATCTGAAAGAATGTTTGTGATACCAAGATACTGATAATTAAAGTCAATCAGTCCCGAAAAGAATGAATTGCAGGACACTAAAAAAATAATTTAAGACCATATGTGGCAGAAGTTAACAAACAGGGTCTGATTATTAGGTCTGGAACAGGGTCTGAGTGTATTAATAAAGTTAGACATTTAAAAACATAAATTATTAATGGTTTACCTATTTAGAAAGGTAAATTTGCATTTATAAATGTGGATTATAAAATTAGAGAATTAGAGAAAGCTATGACTATATTAAAACTTTTGATTTTGTAAATCATGACATTTTGATAAAAAAACTGGATTTCTACTGAATTCAAGGTATTTCCTTAAACATATTAGAATCTTACTTAGTAGGAAACAACTGGTTAGAACAAATGATACTGACTCTAGCTGCAAAAGCATTGTGAGTGGAGTGCCACAAGGTTCAGTATTGGATCCTCTACTGTGTCTTTTCTTTATAAATGACATTACTAATTTAAAAATCTGGAAACATTTTTCTTTTTGCTGATGATACCTGCATCACCTGAAGTAACCCTTCTTGCAACTATAACTTCTGATCTACTTATAATAAAAAGCTGATCCATCTTGGTATTTTTACAGACATCAACCTTAAATGGTCACTACATATCGATTTGTTCTGTGATTCTAGTACAGTTGACCCAGCTGATGTTATTTTTAAATTATAAAAAAGAGCAATACAATATCTGTTTGGCCTCAGAACAATTACACATTGCAGAAGCTATTCAAAATGTTTTTCTAGCAAGACCCAATCATGATTACTCCACCAGAAATTCAATCTTTGATTTTTATTTACTGATCCTTCCCACTTACTTAGTAAAGAAATCTATATTTTATTCTGCAAAAAAACTATAAATATATAAAATAAATATATAAAAGCATATTTCATAATTCTAATTCTAAGACATGAATAATTACTGATAGTTAATATAAATAAATATGAAAATTTACAAACACATTTTCTGTTTTAAAAATACATTTCCTTTTATCTTTTTGTATCAATGAAAAACAATAAAATTTTCAATGTGATTCATCCTGTTTCTAAAAAACCTTGAATACCTATAAAAAATAGCTCATAACACCATATAAAAACTAAAATTATATTGAGAATTCTATTGTGTAATATTTATGTTTTTATTAATTAATTAGAAAAATATTAGTGATACATTTGGAAGTCAATAGGAATATATGATTTATAATTTAGGTAATTGACTTTAATCATGTGGTATTAAATGGTTACATTGTAAATAACATTCCAAGCTTTCAAATTTACTTTATCCTTCAAAAATCGAATTGCGTAAGTATTTTGAAATGAATGTTTTTAAGTACAGAACATTTCAAATTGCTAAAATAAAATATACAATTTAAAAGTAAAAGTTGCATATTATAATCAGTATTGTAAATTTGACAGTATCCAATACAAAATGTATTTTAAATAATATGTGAAATGTTGATTGATTTAATAATTAAAAGTATGTAATGAATTAGATATGATTAAAAATTACCCTGCAGAAGCTCCAAACACGAATTTCAAAACATTAGGTATAGTCTTTTGCTCCGACATTTTTTACTTGAATATTTGAATTTTCCTAAACTTCGGCAGATACAAGGGAGTCACGACGCGACAGAGGTGAAAAAGGTCACCGGAGCGGAATTTTTAAGTCTCAGTATACTGATATATCAGTATTTATAATTTTATCATTTGCCAAGCATAAGTTCAAACGCGAAACAACTTTTTGAACTGATCTTGATCTGTCAGACTGTCAGTGTCAGTGACATAGGTTTTCCTTTCTTACAAATTATTTCATGCATCAGTACCGGACTAAGTACCAACGTATACGCACTATCATAAATGTATGTATAACAAAATAGCAGCGTCAAATTTTTTGTAACAGGTATAATTTAAAAGTTTATAAAAACAGATTTAAAAAAAGCTTTTCGAGGTTCAACTCCACTCTCACTTCTTGAAAAAAGAGTCAGAATTAGTCGCCACATAAACCAGAACATACAGTTTTACATCGACGTTTTTATTAATTACATATCATTAAAGACAACTGGCTTAAAGTGAAAAAGGCCTTTAACCGGGGATGGGAGAAACTATGTCATGATCTCTGATACTTTTTAATAGCATTGTTTTCAAAAGAATATCCCGACGATGTTTTACAACTGCGAGTCGTTATGTGATGACCACAATAGTTATTGTCAAAGTCAAGTTAAAATATCGTTTTTTTTTTTCTATATCCATTTCTTCACATTTTACATTACACTACAATTAAATATCCCAGCATTTTTAAAACGAATGTTCTTACATATAATTCTCTTCAGTTCTTCCTAAACCAGACAAAAACCACTTGTTATTCTGTAGCTTACTCGTGAGAACTTGGTACATAACCCTGTTACCTCACTAAACTCACCAAGAAGTGGTGCAATAGCAATTTTCTAGTGGGAAATTTAAGTATTTCTGAGGACTAAATAATTGTTTCAATTTATTTCTCCATTTTGGATTTCCTGTATTATGCCGTGTATTTAGTAGGCGATATAGCTCTGTAGATATGTACTGCCTAAATTACTAAGTCGGACGGCCTGGGCTCGATCCCTTCACAGACACCAGAAATGTTTCAACTTTTAATTCAGCTGAGCCATCATCGAGCTTCGGGTGGCACGCAAATACGTCTGTCACCGCTATGTAAGTAGTCTTTCTCACTAAAACCTGAGACAGAAGGTTACATGAGTTGAAGATAGATTTACAATAAGCCAATTGGCTGCAGTACAATGGGTTATAGTAATAAACGGCGTCCAAAAAATATGGTTTATTTACGCTACCTATCTTACAGAAATATTTCTGATTCCTGGCACCCACGCTAGATATACTTAATTATTTCGGGAATTTGCTAAATTTGCACTTTTTCCCAGTTTTACGGCGAATATAACTTGGCACTGAAGCATTTGAGACATATATCTGCATAACATGACGCTTCATTAGTTGTCTTTCTTATTATTACTCCACATAAAGATATATTGTCAAATGTACTTTCAATACCCAAACTCCAATAACTACTTTCTGCTGTGAGCTCCTCTATAGATACGAAACTAGATTGTGCAGAGGAACTTTAACTGCAGACATGTTAGCAAGTACAAAAGATTTTCTGTGAGATTTTTTATTCTTGATGCAATCATTAAAATAATTTTTCTTGTTTTTACCATAAATATGGTCATTTTGTTATGAGTGTAATCTAGTTTCTAAGGTTATCAATAAACTTTAACTTCATGTTTCTGCAAGTTTCATTTATAATATATTCCAGAACATGACTTAATCTATAAATTTGGATAATCAAATCCACAATAATAATAATAAGTCCCTCTTGAAGTTAGCTTGAAAATAGGTCATCTGGTTCCACTGCTTTTTCCGCACCTTAATCCAATGGCATATGTTACATAGAACCAGCAGTTGTCTAAGTTTGATATATAATCAGGTGTCATAAAGACCTATCGCTTGGAGGTTGGAGGTATGTTTACTACAACAATGGCGTGCTCTTTTATTTTATAACGAGTTTATTGTTATTCGTCAAAAAGTAATTTATGAAAAAGATTAGGTAGAAAAATTATATTTAAATGATATGAAATTATATTTAAATGATTTTAAACAATAGAACCCCAGCTCCGAGAGTCATGTGTGCTCCAATGTTACAGTGGGACCCACATGTCCGAAGATCAATCCGACCACACTTCGTAATGGAGTAGTACCTATTTGACCCCCAAGCTATAACCAACCACTCCTCCCCATCGCAGGACATAACGAATGTTTGGTACTGAAAGTTACTTTGGATACCCTGGATAATGGGACATCCTCTGTTTTACTTTATGTGGCTAAGCCAACTAATTTTAGGGATAGCTAGCCAAGTTTTTCTCCCTATAAAAGACTGAAATTAATTTTTACTTGACTTTGGACTTGTGTCCCAAAGTGTGTGTTCCGGACAGCGAGTCACCGACCTAAGTCGGTGACTCCCCGCCCAGATTGTGTGTGCTCGGTCACTCAGCTGCCAAATTGGCAAAATAATTTTTGTTATCCTCGGTTGAGCTCCCGAAGGGTCTGGTCATCAAACCCTCGTTTGTTGTACGGGACCTCGATACTCAAGTTCCACGAACTTGGTCGTTTTGACCTACCTGAAGAGCCTTTTAGCTGAACTGCATTTCTGCCTGTGCTGCTGATCAGCATTCACTCTACATTTTTGTACTGTTTTGGTGCTGCATGGCTGCTGTAACAGAAGGTTATAAGTATTGAAAATAAAAATAACTAAATAAAAGAAATAAAATATAAGGATAGGTTTTTTTTGGGCCTTCTGTTACTGCGTTTATTCGACTACTGCATGGCTATTTTTTCTTCACTGTTCTTCTGGGTCTTCTTTATATGCAACTGCTAGCTGCTGTCTGGGCCGCCTATGTAATGTCCTTTGGTTTTTGACATAGTCTGTCAATTCTCTTAATAGTCTACTACCTTAATGGAACTGTGATAATATGGTTCTGGACTATTTGTATTTTGTTTCTGTTCGAGTTTCAACGTTCGTTGCCACGCGGCCGAGGCGTATGTTAGTGTTGGTAAAATTATACAGCTTGCCATCCTAATCTTTGTTTCAAATCTCAGTTCAGAAGTTCTTAGTTTTAAATTGAAAGAGTAAATACTCGACCTATTAATGATGACAGTTGACTTCTAATCATTTTAGTTTTCTGGGCCGTTTGTTTCACGTGTTCTGTGAAGATCAGCTTTTTGTTCAAGGTTACGCCTAGATATTTGACTTGATTTGACCATTAGATTTGCGTATCGAATAGAGATAAAACCCATTTGGTCCGCCTCTCCTTTTTTGGTACATGACGGCTTGTGTTTTGTGAGGATTGACAGCACTATCTTCCACTTTATACACCAATCTTGTAGTTCGTTAAGTACCCTTTTGATGTGTCTCTTGTTGCTAGATCTGGGTTGGTATTGGTATCGTCTGCGTACAGACTTAGCAAAGATCTGGGACTAAACGCCTTTACTAACTACATAACATATATACATTTCAAAAATAACTTATCTGTAAAGTGATATTGTTTTTTTTTCGAACTTCTGCGACCCCAAACAAGACACTTAAATGGCATTTTGCTAAAATATCAAGTAAATGACAATAAACAACACAAAAGCAATCATGTTTGTGAGACTTTATACACTATTGGCTTATATCCATATTTTACGTCATCGCTTAAACCCACTTTATAGACAAATGGGCAATTAAAAAATATCCAATAGTTTCAATATCAGTATGTGTCAATGTCATTTAGGAGTTAGAATGACTTCAGTTTTTTTTATCATCATCTTTTTTAAGAATTTTGTTTATCCGAGTATTGCCACCAACAATATTCTCTTGGCACAGATAAAATAGCATTTATAATGTAACTAGCTAAAGCTATTAAATAAAAAACGGACATTGACAAAATTATCCTATGAAAAAGTATATAGTTGAAACACAAGTCCATTCAATGTTTTTATCCTTCGCTGGGAAATAATTTGTCATTACATTGAACAAAAAAATTATTAAAAATATAAAAAAAATATCAAATAAATAATTAAAAAAAAACAAACAAAAATTGAAAATATAAAAAACTAATAAAAGATAAAAAAACAAAAACTAAAAACATAAATAAGAACTTAAAAAGCTGTTATTGAGAATATTAAAAATTTAAACAAAAATTACAAAGTGCAGAAATTCACGATTTCTAATAACAAAAATTGGTTAGAGGAATGGAGGAAGAAAACGCACATACATTCATAAATGTATAATGCCTTAAATGGAAAAAATTAATGGAATAAGTATTATTTCGTGGTAGGGTAAATGCGGCATAGTAATTACGATATGCCAATCTTTATCCCAATCACTTTGGGATCAAAAATAGCAGTATACATTACTAATACTATGTAAAATTTTATCAAATGGGTCAGTACAACTCTGCTGGGAGCGTATGTTGGTTAAATCAATTTTGGGACAGTAGAGTAGTGGAACACGCACGCACCAGCTGTTTTTGACATTTGATGTAAGGATCACTATTCATAATGAAGGATATTGAATGAGTAGGCAATTTTTTATGCAATTTTGTTATGGGGGTTGCCAGAAATTAGGTCATGAAGCACTTTTCTTTCTTCCGTATTCGACTATTTCCTCAACCAAATCCAAAATCGAAGTTCCGCAATCAAAACAATTGTGATCCAATGAAGAAAGAACTTGAAACGTAAAGTAAAAATACCATTATTAGTTGTAAAGTATGATAACTGTTATTGTTTATTTCAATTCTAATAATATTTATTTTAAGATAATTTAAAATGGCTAGTAATATACCAGACTTTAGTCATTGCTGTGAGATTTGTGGATTGGAAGGCCTCTCAGAAGATGAATTTAGGATTCACACTCATACCGCTCACGTTGAAGCTAATGGTGTATGCCCTTTTTGTGAATTAGCTGCTACTTCTGTGGCAGAACTTATTTTACATGTCAATCAAGCACATTTGGATTTTCTAACGCCTGAATCAGAACAAAATATTAGCTTTATAGATGATCCTAGCCCCAGGTAAGTACAACCCTACATAATTTTACATACCCATTTTATGTTTGT